GGAAGCCCCGGGCGGCGCGGAGGTTGGGGAGGCACCCCAGGGGGGGGGGACCCAAGGCGAAGGCGCAGAGGGGCGCTGAACAGGAGGCTCCGTCGGACCCGGACGGGAGGGTGACGCGCGCCCGGCGCGGCGGCGAAGCGCGGGCCCCCTGGAGAGGGGAGCGCAGCCTGTTGGGCGGACGGCAGGGAGCTACCGAGAACTGCGAACGGGGAGGGGGGCCGTGTCGCGTCCTCCTAAGAGGATGCCGGAGACGGAAACGTCGAGGTGGGACGGAGAAGTGGGGAAACAAGGGACTGGAATGCGCAGGAGAGGGACCAGCGTGGGTCGAGCGTTTCTGAGTGTTTTACACGCGTAACCGCATCATCATAAGTTTATAAAGCGCTTGCTGGGCGCCAGCCGTCCCCTGGCAGTTGGGAGAAGGGGCTGCTGCGTTCCTGGCAGGCCGGTGAGGCTCCCCTGGACCTATCTAATGGCTCGGGGAGGGGGCCCGTAACGAGGTTTCTGTCTGGGGCAGTGGTCGGCCTGGTGTTTCAGGAGGATTAATGGGACAGGGTGGGGAGAGTAAGCCAGAGAAGTCCCCAGGAGGACTCAGAGTGGCCCTGAGAGCTGGCTGGTGTCCATCTGAAGAATATCCCCACGCAGGACTTGCTTGGGTTGCTGAGGTCATGGGCAGAGAGGGTGATGGCTGCAGGGAAGGGGCAAGAGGGGGGGACCCCCGGCATCCCCTAGCCATGGGCTGCACCCCCCTGCCTTCTTCATAGCTGCTTAGCCATTTGCTCTTCCTCCCGATGGCCTGTTCCAGCTGCCCAAGAACCCACACCTCTGGTTCAGCTTCACTGCTAGGAGCAGCCCACCCCCAAGGCTCACCCTGGCCCACAAACAGCACAGCTGCTCGGAGGTGGTGTATCTTGCTTGTCCTGCCAGGGGGTGCCACACCCAGATATCTACAGCAAAGGAGCCAAGTGAGGGTGAGCTAGGTGCCCAGAGAAGGTGCATTTGAAAGAGCAATGAGCTGATACTGTGTAGAAATGAAGTCCCAACCCAGCCAGGTCTTTCAAGACAAGCTGAAAATAGTTTTTATTTTTAAAAACGTGAAATCTTTTCCATTTTAAATTTATAACTCAGACTAAGAGCCAAGCCCAGCACATCCAGGGGCCCCATGCAGCTCACTGGCTGCCAGCCTGTGATCCTTCCCATGCCTTCCTCCTCCCTGACCCAGAGCTGAAGATAAGAATCTGAAACCTGGGACAGCACCCAAGGGAGCAGGTATCTGGGAGCTCTTTCATATTTTAAAACTCCCAGCCTTAAGAAAAGGAAGGCACCTTTCAGGGGACTCGGAATAGAAATTTCCACTGCCTGAACCCCTCTTCCTAAACTTCCTTTTGGAGGTAATAACAGAATAATAGCTGACCTTCACTGAGTACTTACTATGTGCTTGGCACAGATCTAAGTGGTTTGCCTGTGCGGACCCATTTTGCAGATGAGGGAACTGAGGCCCAAAGAAGTTAAGTCCCTGGCCCAAAGGCTCCCAGCTAGAAGTAGGTTCCTGGCTTCAGAGACTGAAGTCTTAACCAGGTAAGACAAATCTCACAGCACCCTCATGTGTACACTTGGTACTGCCTGACCCCGGAGCTCACTGTACACGGTGAAGGAAGGGGTGGTCAAGTTCACACACAGTCATGGCCTTGTGTGGGTGAGTCCTTGCTCCCCACCCATATTGGCCAGGCCTGCAGGGTATATAGGAACAATAGTACCTCTGACTAGAAGGTTTCCACCATCCACAGGGCAGGCTGTGCGGAGTGGCAGAGGTGCAGATATTAAATGACTTGGTCGAGGCCCCACAGCTGGTCACTGGCAGAAGTAGCAGGAACAAACAGGCAGCATTATCCATTCTCCCAGTCAACAAACAGCCTTTGAGCCCGGCTATGCCTGGCACCGTCTCCGCAGTCAGGCCCAGATTTACAATACAGGTTTTAACTGTGACTGATTGGCTGGACTATGTTTTAAATGCACGTAC